AGGCCTTTTGTGCAGCTTGCTTATTCTACTACCAAGTGTTTACTCGACTCCCTGCCTGAGCCCCAGTGGCCTGATGCTGTTGTGTCTCCGAGGGCCCGAACTGTAGCTTGAGAGGGACTGATAAGCAAATTCAGCAGGCCCCCTTTTCCCTCCCTGCTCTGCCTATGCACAACGGTTGTTTTCTGTATTTTCACTGCTCTCTAAATCACGGCATAAATATTTCTGAAGCAACTGTAAAGTTCTCTGCCGAAAAACAAGGTGAAAATGAAAGGAGTGCACAGGGATAAATCTCCAAAACACACTTACTGCAAATGTCTCATGAATCTACCAGCATGGCTTCATGCAGCGTGTGTGAGGAAGTGTGTGTGTGTGGGGAGAAAGGGAGAAGGATTGCTAAGTTGGCGGTTTGAATGATGTTTAACTGGAGCTCAGCACAGTTGAATGAGGCTGTAAATCCGCTTTCTCCGGGGTACAGCTACTCAGAGCGCCACTGTGAAGAACTATCACAGAGAGAAGGATGTCACCACATTACTGACACACACACACACACACAATTTCTGCCTCCTACAAGGAATAAAATATAACCCATGCCATCAGCAGCAACCCACTCAGAGGATGAGGATACAGAGCTGCAGCCCACATTAACCAAACACAGAGATCTCTCCTCTCACAGCTTCCTCGCTGCCGTGTAATTTCCCTCTGCCACCACACTCTCTACACACGGCTGAAGATGAAATCGCGAAAGCAGGGTAAAAAAGAAAAACTAAACTAGCAGCTAGAAGTCCATCCCATAATGTAAATCAGTGTCTGTGTATGATGACTTTACTTTGTTTTAGGATCCAAATTTAAAGGGGCCCTATTCTGCTTTTTGGGGTTTTCCCTTTCCTGTAGTGTTTTATTTAGGTTTTTGTGCATGTAAATGGTCTGCAAAAACTAATTGTACGTGATAGGCTAAGAGGCGGGACATCTATAAGCGGATGTACAATCCCAACAGAACGAATCAGAGCAGACTGGGCTCTGGTTTCAGACAGAGGGTGAAAAGAGGTGCTGCAATTCTGAACATTAAAGCATGGAAACATGTCACAGTAGAGGCAATAAATACAAATATGAACCTGAAACTGATCATAATATTTCCCCTTTAAGTGTTTTCCTCTCACCGCATTGTCCAACTTCATCAGAGGGGAAATGTGCCGGCTGCTCTGTAAACACACATTACTCGTGGAGCTAATTTGACTCAGATGAGGAGATTTATTTTGCAGAGCTGAGGAGGTTTGCTCTCTCTCTAGGTCGTCCTCAGACGAGCCCTCCATCGTCGCTTCCAGTCATCCCGGTTCTCCATACATCTGGCCAGTTCATTGGTACTTTGTGCTCCTGCGTCCTTCTTGAGTACGTCCACGTATGTTTGTGCGGGACGTCCTCGTGATCGATGCCCGTCTGTTGGTTCCCACAGCACCAATTTGCCGGCTGGCAGCTCTTGATGCCTTTTGCAATGTCCTGCTAGTCTCATTCTCCTGGCTGCAATCACCCTTGGTATTCCCTCGTACAGGATGTTGTTGGTTAAATGTACACTCTTGCTGATGTTAAATACTGCTCGCAACATTCTGGTGTAGCATCCGTCTAGAGATGTTGGTTTTTTGAAGGGCAGAATCGTCAATTATTTTAGAACAGATGGGTCTAAAAGTGCAATTGAATTTGATTATTGCCTCCATGGAATACAAAATGAAAAAGGCCTAATTTGAACAGAAAGTTATGAGGAGGCCTTTTCAATTCAACAACCTAGGAGAGGCATTCATGATTTTCCATGTCTCATTTTTCTTTCCTTCATCCCCTTTAATGACAGCGAGTAAGTCATGATGCATGTTTCTCAAATCTTCCCCAGCTGAATTCCTAAAAGTGTTCTTTTTAATGTCATTGCTAATTGATCAATGAAATCCAACTTTATTTTTCATTCTATTATCGACGCGCTTTTCCAAATACCAGGCCTGGCTCTGTTGAAGTGCTATGACACATTTGGAGTAAAGAATTGTCTACGGTACGGCATCGAACAGACTATTACAGAAGATGTTTTGTTGCAGATCCTGACAACCTGTCAAGAATGATCGCTCCACTAACAGCCTTCCTTTACTCAGTAGTGATTGGCAGATATATTTTAAGCTTTTCTTACCTTTCAGGGTCAATAGTTCATGTTGATTAAGGTTTCTCAGAAGTTTTCAGATCTGTTTTTAGAATTAGGTGGTTTAAAAAGGTACCAACACACTCATTTCAAACTGTTTCTAACTTGACATGATTTAAAAGACTTGGTTGAGTGTTCAAGAGAAGTTGTTCCACATCATGGGGGACCAGGTGACGCTAATCAGTGCTAATGGTAATCACACAGGTTGACAGGAAGTAAGGCATCTAAAGGTGAGTCCCAAAATAAAACAGGTTATAATTTATATAATATAGAGTTTAATTCAGCAGTAACTTAAAATCATAATTTATAAGCAGTGTTTTTACTGGTCCCTCACATCAAGCACATCAACACCTTCACTCAAACTGAAGCAAACACCCAGGACAGATGGTTAGGACCCACTGCGAGGGGCCTCCTGCAATGCCTGATAACAAGTGTCTCGTGCTATATTGGGCAACCGTGACTGTAACCACAGCCTCAAGTGGAGCGAACAGGTGGCCCGCCTCACAGGACCAGTGGTCACGTTGCGTGTCCACAATGAAGGTTCAGTCAAGAGGAAATGCTCCAGACACCATATGATGGCCTCTAAAAAATATCAGAGGCTTCTGGGAAATCAAATCCGGAGCTCTGCAACTAAACTTCGCTGCATAAGTCGTAAGCTTCAGTCTACAGGGAGGAGCATCAAAACATAAAATAGAGCATTTGGCCCTGAAATTGCCCCTTATCACCCTCAGTATATTTGAATTTCCTCAGCTGCTTCACAATGACAAGAAAGCTGGCCTAGTTTGGGGCCCTGTATCAGCTGTATGGAGCTTCCTAATCATTTCCTCCATGTATTTGTGTTTTAGAGGCAGTATCTCATGTTGTGGGGAGATGATAATGTCACGGAGGAAGGAAAGTGATGGTCTGCCTGGTGTTTATACAAGACTTTGGCATGTGTTGTCATTGGGCGTTTCGTCATTTGAGGGCAAGTTGCCACAGAGCCCCTTTCCATCCTACACACACACACACACACACACACACACACACACACACACACACACACACACACACACACACACACACACACACACACACACACACACACACACACACACACACACACACACACACACACACACACACACACACACACACACACGCTTTGAACTGCTGGCAAGATTATCTGGGCCCCCTTCCCGGAAGGACCATTGGGGTATGCATGAAACATGTAAGTCTGCATGTGTGTGTGCATTTTGGATGACGTTAAAAGAGAGGTAGGGTTTCCTCTCCAGGTCGGACTCTTCTTCAGACTGTCACTGAAGGGGAAGATATGGAGGATTTCTCCTGAGATGAATAGAAGGGTTAACATACAAACATACCTTGACACACACCACCTCCACTTTGCTAGGACACCGTGAGAAGCCTACATGTTGTACGATTCAGGAAATATTAAATGATTAAGTTAGAAAACCAAACAAAGTTTCCCCCCTCGCTGCGATGACTAATGTGCTGCCTGTTTGCCCCCTTTCCATCTTGATTACATGATCCCCGCATTAATTAGCTGTGTGTTGAAGTCACTTCCTGTGGCGCGACCCTCAAATGGGCTCCATCCACAATCTGGCCTATCGACTTACAGGGTGCCAGAGCTTTTTCTTTGAAGGCCGCCTCGGCTTCTGAGGCAGATAAACTCTCTGATCTGACGGCTAAAGGAAATGGCCCCCGCAGTGTACCGTTTGCAGACTGATAAAAACCTTGAAAAACAACATTTGGATAACACACGCACTCACACAGGGAAACACAATTAAGAATAATTTGGTTGTGAAAACAAGAGGCGGTATGGAACAATGACAATCTGGCTCCTTTGGTAATTTCCTGTCGGCGTTCATTCGTGTGATGTGGTCGTGACTGTTCTGCCGGGATCAATCAGACCTGTGAGCAGATGGCATCGCGCTCCTCCAGCGGACTGGGGATTTTATGTGTTTTTCAGAGGCGGTAATTGGCCCGCTATGTCACGGACCGGAGCATGCTAACAGCCACTGCCATCGCACTGTGCAGCGACAACAAGTGTCCTCCTGTCTGTACGGATCCTAATGTCCTACCTGAGTGACAGGCTCCGCATCATATCTGCTCAAAGTTGTGTTACATGTTGCTATAATTAAAAAGCTACCATTAAAACAGATTTCAGGAGTGCATACAAGCAACATTAACTTTGGCACTCGTTAAACTCCAAAGTCACTGCTGTAAGACTCCTGTTAAAAGAAATTGGACCACTTTGGCTGTCTCACTAGACGTCCAGGTCAGAGACCCAGGAGAGCCTCAGATATCACATTCTGCATCTCTGTTTGCTAACAGGGTTTGCATTTAGGTGAGGAAAGTTTATGTGGGTAAATGGAACCGTGTGTGGGAAACTCTGCAAGCTGTATAAAAGAGAGGCAGAGTAATTGCATGTGTACTGTATGAAAGTGTGTGTGGCTGAGACGTCGGGTACTTCAAAGCTTTGATGTTGGAGCTCCTAAATGAGGGCCACCAGAGGTCCAGACTAATGGGACATCATGTGGAGATTAGAGGCCAAGTGTAGCAGGCTGACAACAAGGCATTATGTGTGTGTGTGTGTGTGTGTGTGTGTGTGTGTGTGTGTGTGTGTGTGTGTGTGTGTGTGATGGAGGAAAAGAGCGAGAGTCTGTGTGTGTGATTCCCCGTGTGTATTCTTTTTGCAATTAAAAGTGAGCCTCAGATGGAGTTTGTGGGTAATTGGACAGGAAACATAAGTATTGCGGGAATGTCAATAATACTACGAAAACCTCCATCAAACTTCTTGTACACGATGTATCACAGTAAGAAAGGCTTATTTCTCATTATGGTATAAATCCTTTATTAAATAATCATAACAATAATTATAATAACAATCATAAAAAGAGCATTTCTGTACAAAGTCCCCTTCAAAACAACAACAGCAGTCCGAGCAGTGCGAAAGGGGGGATCCCGTCCTTTTTTAATTTTATTTACGTGTTTTGGTCCTCCCAGGCAGAAGGGGGCGCTGGGACATGTCGCTGTCAGCGTCAACTTTCTGTTTCTGATACCGGCTCCAAAGGCAAGCTGGACCCCCGAGGCTCCAAGGCACTTTGAAGAGAGTCAGTGGGGTCCAGAGAAGAGGGCCTCAGAGGAGAGGGGGGGGTGTGTGTGGGTGTGTGTATGTGTGTGTGTGTGTGGTGACAGCAAGATGGGATGAACCCGTGTGTGCATTGAACCCATGGGGCATTTCTGTACTCCATGGTCTAAAATATATACCGTAAGCTTCTCAGCAGCAACTGTTGTTCCCTTTGATTCTCAGTGTTTATGAGTGTGTTCATGTTCTGTATATACATCTGTATATACAAGTGAAGTAATGTGTGTGTGCGTGCGTGGGAGCTGACTTCCTCTCCCACCCTCTTCTTCTCATGGCTTATGAGTCCATCAAGAGCGCGTGCAATACAAGACCCTTTCTGATTGGTTCAAAAACAGTCCCGAAGAATGCCTGCCTTGCTTTGCGAGAGCCGACATTTAAAAAAAACAGGCCACAATTAGCCAGTAGTTTGAGGTGTGGGTGGTGTGCTCTGTGTGTATGTGTGAGTAAGGGGGGATAGGTCCTTTAATCATGGCTTTTGAGGTCCACGTGGAACGAGAAGGATATGGATACCTCTTGTCTTCGTGTCGCCTCAACTTTCCTTTTTCATCATTTCCGTGGACAGTTTATTTTAAGGCGTGTTGTGTGTCCGGGGCACGCAGTTAGTGTTATTTCCCCGCAGAAAGCCCATGGCCCCTGTGAGAGAGCAGGGGTCTCAGTGTCTCTCTGTTTGTCTTCAGTGGTTCTCAGTCCCTCACCAGCAATCCATAGGTTGCACCGACCAAAGCTCCTTGACCTTTTTACCATTAACCACGATGTAAACATGACCTTCTATTTGACAGGAACCAGTAACAACTAAATCTAACAATAACTCTCTCTGTCATTAAAAGAATGTGTTAAAAAGTCGCCCCCCCCCCCCCCCCCAACTCCCCACCTCTACACACACATACGCCTCTTTTTTTTTCTACTTATCTGCCATCACAGGCTGGCGGTAGGCCAGAACGAAAACATTAAACAGAGAGGAACGGAGCGATGGACGTCTGGGACTAAAAATACCGCAGACTGTCAGGAACTAAGAGGATAACTGAGGCTGATAGGTAGCAGAGTCTACGGACGGAACAAAAAAAAGCCAACAGGCCACACAAAGGAGCTAAGTTCTAGGCCACTGTGTTCACATGTGATCAAAAGACGCTTGCAAAGCACGTTCCTAACCTACCACCTTTCCAACACAACGTGTTCTGTGTAGCTCACAGTATCCTGCTTCAAAACTTCACCTGGTACAAATCTAGGATGCATTTATACACGTTTGGTGGAACAGGATTCTGTAATTGATATGTGTAGATACTTTTTGAGGCGTAACACCCCCGCAATGGAACGATCCATCTGGGTAACCGCAGTCTTTCTCCCATTGGTTATTTCACCACACAAATACTACCAACACTGGTCTGTGCCACGTTTTTTGAGCTTTGAAGTTCCCATTTGAGCTAAATAAAAGTGGCTTTCTGTTGTCAATATGTCTGAGGATCTGCACCACTCACTGAGGAAGTCAACTAAAGGTGAGGAAATGAAGAATAAAGTGAGAGGTTTTCACAGAATGGCAGCATCTCTCGCTCCGTCTCCCCTCTCGTGAAGCCTCCTCACGCCTCGGTGCAGCAGCGCTGTTGGTTCAGCTTGACCTTGTGCTTGAGGCCGTCGTACAGTTCGAAGTTGTAGTTCTCCAAGGTTGTGGAGGAGCGTGACGACAGGCCGCTGTAGGAGCAGGTGCAGTACAGCAGGAGGCCGGCGCACACCGCCCCCAGCACCACGCCCAGGGAGCTCATCACGATGATGGTGACCAGGATGGGGTCCAGGGTGTACAGCCACGAGTTGTCCTTCTCCGAGACGCGGGTCACCGGAGGGTCGGAGGACGGGGATGCTGTGTTCCACTCTGGGAAATGTAAAACTGTGAAGGGAAGAGAAAAGTTAGCTACACGACACTCAGAAGTGACTAAATCTGATCAAAGGTGTTGCTGTGACTTACCTCCACCAAGAGAGTCTCTGCCACTGAAAAGACGTCCATCTCCAAATTCATTGGGTCTTCTAACTGTTAAAAAGAACCACAAACATATAAGTCTTGAAGCATAAAACCTTAACATAATTGAAGTTATAAAGCTTTTTGCTGTTCCCAATTTAAAACCATTACAATCAACAGGTAGCACTGGTTATTCACATTTTTACTGATAAACAACCCTATTCAGCGTCCATATACACACATGAGTCTGGGAATAATAGAAAAATATGACTTTATTAATAGAGAAAGATCATTATGATACATTCCTGTCAAACACACAGTCATCACATAGCATACTGATGGTATAAGACTGTTCATTCTGTGTGGATAAAGATGAAAACATCGAATAAGCAACATCATTATCACCGGTAAATTCATCGACACGGGTACTGTCAAACTTAAGAGTGGTGCATAAGATGATTAAAGAAAAAAAAACGAATGGCCACATTTAAGTAGTGCTTGTGAGAGGGGTGTGAACTGATATGTATGAGAGTGTCTGAATTGGATGATTATAAGTGTTGTAAAAACTTGCAGCGGCTGCAACACTTGAGCCAAATAGCTAGAGTGTACTTTAGATGAGTTTTCTCCTCACTGTGTGTGTGTGTGTGTTTGCGCTCGCTGCTCTTGGCAGGCATGCATAGTGGGAGTAACTGCTTGGCAAGGCACACGTCTGGATCTGGGGGTCTTTAGATGGCCAATGGCGTTATTAATACAGTTTCCGGGGCAACTGAAGTTGGCAGGGGATTGGGTGACGGAGGTGCGGTAGATGGGAGGGAAAAGTGCTTACCGCAGCCTTAATAAATGTTATCCGTCCATTAACTAATTACAACTATTAGAGGCTTGGAGCGTGACGGTGTGGAGATGGCAGAGTACGGTGCCCCAAGTTGATTTAAAAGCCTGTGGTGAGAGCCTGCCAAAAACCCTCCTTTTTCTCCACCAAGAGAAAAGTGCAGCTTCTAGATTGTGGGCGACAAATGGAGGTGCTTTCTGCTGAGCTGCGGGCGAGGAGGTGATGGATTTCTGCTGGTGTGACAGATCCCGAGAGCACGGGCCGTTAAGCCACAGAGTGAAGACCTCAATTTCATTCAATCTGAGCAGTTCAAATGGGCTCGTGTCAAATCTCGCCACCTCTGTACCGACTGATGAGAGAGAAATAGGGGCCAATTTTTCTATGTCAGTAAGAATTATTAGAAATGTCCCAATAAAGCATGTTTTAAGATCCCAGATATATGTTAAACATGAATAAGAAGTGCATTCACTATGTTTTATATTATGTTAAAGCCATTCATGGCGTCTTATGGCACTGTAGGAAGAAGCATCACTAGCTCTGCTCTGGTTCTCATAACGCCTGGGATCCCTCTGAAGGGTGCGCATATACAGATACACTTATTACTTCCAGCTGGTCCAGTGGCATTGTGGGATTTGTAGGAGTATAAATCAAGAGCAAAATGGTGATGGCAGACAGCTGTGTCTATTTACAACCCTAAAAACAACAAGCATATATTCCCACAGAAAACACAACAAGGCTGGGCTCAGCATGGGTTTCATCTGGGCGGCTCAAAGACATATGGAGGAACAATGGGGGTGGGTGGTATGTAGCATAAATGGGAGTGGGAACAACGTGCTTTATTACGCCAGAGAATCAAGATGAAACACTAAACACTGAAGACGGCTGCATCCATCACTGACTGACGCCTTTATCAAGAACAGACAAGACGTTCAATCAAAGAGCTGGTTATCTCCATTTGTGATGCAGCACTTAAAGTATGATGGATTTGCATTCCTTTGTTTTTAAATGTGAACATGCTCTGTTGAAAAAGCACAATGGAGAGATTTTTCCTAACAACCCCCTCACTATTGGTACAACTCATATCACAGCTTTCTCGTGTTGTTATTACAGAGATACCAAGAGCTTTATTTTTCCGGGGCTTGCCAGATCATTTCCACAGCCAGCACGTTGAATGCCTCTCAGCCTAACAGTTTCCTCGTCTCTCTCTCAGCGCTGCAGAGCTCCAGGGTCTCTGGGGTCTTGTTTCAGCCCTGTGGTTTGGCAGCTCCGGCTGGCTCTCGCAGCAGGAGCGGCTCGACCCCTTCTCTTTGCAGCCCACACATGTCTGTGTGTGTCCGGGCTGGGGTCAGTCCACGAGGACCGCTGGGGTTACGAGCAGCCAGACGGCACTCAATGGGCCGAGACAAGCTGTTCAGATAAATAACTTACTCAGACTTTAGTCCTCTCATCAGGAGCAGCACAGTGTGAAATGTCAACAGCAAACTCCTTAATGGAACAGAGAAAAAACCCAAGCTATATCCATCCAGGCGGAGAGGGAGGTGTTTCTTTAGCAAATGTTCACATGGCAGTTTAGTCATCATCACCCTCTGTAAACTAAATGAGGGTGGGGGTCGTCCAGTGGATGTTCTGTCAATCACACTGACATCACACGTACGCCCTGCTCTGCCAAACACACGCAGCTAATGCTCCTCCCTCAGCAGAGGGTCCGGTGTCGGTCCCGGCTGTCCAGCCTCACGGTCAGGACTGGCTCCACCCCTGGGGCGGCCATACTGGAGGACCAGTTAGAGTACTGGAAGCACTGCGAGGAGCTGTGATAGGCCACCGACAGCTGGCTCTTCTTGGTGGCCAGGTGTTGCCGGCAGCAACAGAGGGCCCTGACCAAGATGGCCACCGCCAGGAGAAGGAGGGCGACCCCCGCGGCCATAATGTAATACCAGTGGATGGGTAAGGGAGGCACAGGAACGCCTCCCCCTGGTGGAGAGATACAGAGTGATTGGCCAGCGGGAAAAGAGAGGAGTGGCACTTTTCTACATTTAATTCTTTATTTTCTATCCCTGTTGTTCTTCATCATATGAACAGCAGGCGTGCACCTCGTGTGAGCATGCACAAGCATGCCAGTTGCAAAAATTCAAACAAATCTCCAAGGCCATGTAGCTAGGGTTGCAGTTGGAGTTTTCACACCAAGACCATCGAGGGATTTGGGTTGAAATCAGTCCAATGGTTGATCCAGTCAAATTCAATGCAATTAATTTTTCAAAAAAAGCTCCAATGGAATGACTTGGTGTGAAACAGAAGCCAAAAATAATTAGTTCTATAAGCAACCACACACATTGAATTAGGAAGCTTCCTCTTCCTGTTTCACACTGGCACAGGAAGTCACTGCCCCCCCGATAAACCTCATGCAAGAATCAGTGGGATCCAATGTTCCAGAGCTCTCTGAGCTGATATTGGACTGGGATTTGTTATTTATCTGGCAGATTTGTTTTGAGTGCATAAATGATCCTGTTCTCTGTTCGTGGTTTCTGATTTTCTTCTTTCTCATGCATCCTCCTGCTGGCCAGTCCTCTCCCCCCTCAAGACAAGCTCCGTCTCCTTGGAGACTATCTCCACAGAATTTATAGCTGCTAACCCTGACTTGAACCCTGGCTTGAACCCTCTTCTCAAATTCTTGGTAAGTACCAACTGACCACCTTCCAAGAAGATTTTATTCGCCTGCTATGTGAAAATGATCCCCTGAAGACATGAAAAACTTTAAAATAAAGCCCGGGTGTTCCTTCAGACAGAGAGTTGTAAGACCGAGAGAATGTCAAATTGAACTAGGAAAGGTGAAGCAGAGCTGAATACATCCTGATTTTTGGACCGTGTCACATAATTACAGAGGGAAATGGTGCGTGCTGCTGCTACTTCACACTGCACACACTCATTAGACAGAGCTGAGTTAGGGAGAGGAGAGAGACACCGTGCCTGCCGCTGCTCAGTCACTCTATCTGATTGCTTTCCACTGGGGACACTGGTGTGTGTGTGCGTGTGAGGGGATATTCATGTGTGTGTTTGTGCATGTTTATCAAGTGTTAGAGACTCTGTGTGTGTGTGTGTGTGTGAGGCAGAGGAGTAGAAAAGCTGAAGAAGTGCACACACATCACATTCTCACTGAAACCGCCGGGCTCTTATCTTATTGGAAGACATTATGAGATGCCAAAACACTAACATCAATCTCATAGAGTCCCCCAGGATGCTCTAAATATTTTTCATGAGGCAGACAGTTATTTAAAACCCTTCAGGCTGTGTCAGGCAGTGAGAATATGTAGCTCTTTTCAAATATCTGACTCCATGAGGTGCGCTTGATTTAGCTTGCCTTGCACGCAGAGTTAGCTCTTTTGAGAGTAACGCTTTGTTTCCACTGAGACTGACAAGGTAAAGCTAGTGCACAACAGCACAGTGAGATTATTCATTTGGCATTTTTTAAATGTAGATTTTAGCGAGGGGTTTAGTATTTGATTGGTGATGTGCACATGCCGATGCCATGAACCACCAGTTTTAATAATGAATGCAGATGTATTCATCTGGAGTCGCACAGCTATAGCCGACTCAGCCTCTGTGTTGTTGCTTTGGGCTTTTTATTTAAGTGTTTGATACAACTCAGTGCCACCAAGCAGCAAAACCCCAGGCTAGTGCAAACCAACGGGCAGGAAGCAAGACCACAGAGGAAGTGACATCATGTCAAAGTCAAACTCACCTGGGTTTTCAGGAGAAAACGCTGCGAAGGGTTCTGCGAGGACAAAGAGAGAGGAGACAGGAGGGAGGGAGACAACTGTTAGATAACTTTAAATAAGATGGGAAGAGTCAGCCAAATGTCACATAAATGTCACAAGACTATCAAAGTCCTCCTGAGGAAATAAATTAATTTCTCAGATAAGTCACATGAGTTATGGCATTTACTCGGCTGCTTTGCCAGAATGCAATTTCAGTAGTGGAGAATCTAAATCTAAGATGGGCTGAGTTTATGGGCTACGTATGTGTGTGTGTGTGTGTGTGTGTGTGTGTGTGTGTGTGTGTGTGTGTGTGTGTGAGTGTCATCGCAAAGTTCACGCATTTCAAGTTGTTTATCTGCCGAGGCCAGTTAAACTGGAGCGGGCAGGTTTTTTTTTTCTGGCTTGCTGCAAATGCACAGAGCAGAACCTTTACTTTGATTGGCTGGAATGCAAACACAGAGAACTGATGTGTGTGTGTGTGTGTGTGTGTGTGTGTGTGTGTGTGTGTGTGTGTGTGTGTGTGTGTGTGTCAGGGGGCGAGTGGGAGAAAAAGAAAGACTTTGGAACTTGTGCCTCTTGGCGGGAACCCAAATATACTGTGAAAAACTCTACTGCGTCGGGTGATAAGCAACATCCCAGCATGCTCTGGGAGTGGCGAAGGAGGTGAGGGAAGGAAGGAAGGAGGAAACACAGCAGCTTGGAGGCAGTGGGGGTGCTGTCATCTTTGCCTTCCAAGCTGCTGTGCTGCATCGAATCTCTGAAGACTCATGACACAGACAAATGATTGATAGCAGAAACACACACAGCAGAAGTGTTGGAGCGACAGACACACACTCTCTCTCTCTGCTCCACACTGCAGTCAAGATGACGTCAGGGTCCTGGCTGTGCACCCCGGCTCGCTCTCTGATCTGTTTAAGACCCTCTCCAAAGCCCCTGCTCGGGCCAGATTAAGGGCTGTGCTGGCGCTCGGCTCGCACCAGGCACCGGAAAGTTGCTCGGGAAACAGCCTGTCTAGTAATTCCCTTTGACTGCTCGGGAAAAGCTCTGTTTACAAATACGACGGAGGAATGAGCGCGCGAGAGAGAAGAAGAGAAATCTAATGGAACATAGATTAGCATCGCCGGGGCCCACGGGGCTTTTATGGCCTAGTTTGACTATTCTTCTTCTTTCTGGAGGAATAAACGCTGTCCCTCCCACTCCTTCCTCCTTTCATCTCCGTGCTCGGTGGGTTTTTTGGAGGAAAGGCTGTCTCCGAAACTGGGATGGGTTTAGGGGTGGGGGGTGTTTATCTCTGCATGTGTGTCACTGATCAAGGACCTGCTGGTTAAAAGTGGAGGAGGTGTGAGGGAAAACTGACGGAGAGTGAGGCAGTGGGTCAAACAGATGTGTGTGTTTGTTTTCAAATATTCTTTCGGAGTGGGAAGATGGAGAAAAATAAAGTTTGTCACCATATGTGTGTCTGTCAGAGTGTGTGTGTATCCATCAGAGTGTGTGTGTGTGTGTCTGTCAGAGTGTGTGACTTACGTGTACACTCTTTCAGGGGCGTGCTGGAGCTCATGTGGATGTTGTCTATCCAGATGTGTCCTCTGGTGCCGTGCACGAAGAAACCCTCCATCACAACCTAGCGCGGGAGGAAGACGAGGCATTAAAAGTTGAGAAACAAGAGGAGGAAGAGGAAGACGGAGACAGGAGGAAGGCAACAGGGAGCAGAGGCACATCGAAAATGGGGACAGCAGGAAGAGGAGGAGAGAGAGGATAAAAACTTAATACGGTGCCTGTGATTTCAAAGTTGCACTCAACACTTGCAATCATCCTCCCCATCTCTGCGAGCTCCTTCAGCTGACTTTTTTATGAGCGCGCTAACTGCTTGTGATGTCTTTGACAAATGCACGACGCTCCCCAAACAATCACACAGCCAGTGGAGACAATATGGGTTACTTTAGCTGTGTTTGAAGCCAAACCTGGCCTTAGGTGACAGAGATTAAAACGGATGCTTTCATATGCTCTGAGAAGACTGATCTCCCTCTAACCAAAGACTTTAAAGACATATCTGGGGAGGCATACAATAAAGGGTATGACCCAGATACCTATTATCAAGCAGGCACACTCTAATATAGTCTAATGTGGTGTTTTTCATACCAGATCCATTCCAGAAAACTAGAAGAAACGTTTAATTACCTGGAAGTCTTTGGGGGAGCGAGGCAGGATGGTGCGTCCCTCCCTCCACACGGGGCCCTGGTCGTCTTTCAGGGTCCACAACACGGTCTCCTCGTTGTGGGCGTCCCGCAGCAGGACCTTCAGGTGGCCCTGGGCCTCCCCCGACAGCTGGTAGGAGAAGCTGAGGCACAGGGGCCCGCTGTCGGCCACCAGCACCGGGCTCACGATCCAGGCCTGCTGCTGCTCCGTCTTTAGGCTGGCGTCCATGTGCAGGTAGCTGTTGAGCTCTGGAGGGGAAATAACACGGAGATTAGTTGTGTTGCTCTGAATACATTTAACAGTTAATATATAAGTGGTTTGAGAACTGTTCCTAAATCCAGACTTTCCACGTTTTGAAAATCCGATAAACTTTGGAAATGTGTGACTCTTTCAAATTCTAAGTGGATAAAGTCATCGGGTTCAGTGAAAAATAAAAGAAACATTGAGAATCTCACAGCGGCGATGTGCAATCAAGCTGTTTTAGTATTTGTACCAGATTGTTGAGATGAGCAGAGCTTTGTTTTAACCTTCAGTTCGCTGCTCGCTACAGTCAAATGAAAGTAAAAATAATAAGCGATTTAAATGGGCTTTTTCATTTCAGCTGGAGGCAATGAAACACAGGACATTTAAAAGGATGTGAAGACTTCTGATATGTGGATGCTGCTGGAACCGGTTTGTGGGGCACTTCTCATACACACAATTACCATCGTAAATCACTGCTGTTTGCTCATACAGACAGACATACATATGTTTTCACACAATTACAGATATCTCCAACAGAAAAAATGAATCACCACTTGCTAACAGGAACTGGATCACCAGTGCACAATACTCAGCGCTAACAATAGGGAAGTGACAAATATAAACACAGGGAAGAATGGGTCCAGTGAGAGCGTCACATGGAGCGCTAACAGAACTCCAGCAAAGACCCTCGGGGCCCATTTCTCTTCATTCCCTTCCAGGTAAATGACTTACACTACGGAAAAGTCCAACAAAAAGCACGCCGCCCCATTTGTGTACACCAGAGGATGTTTACTTTGCAAATTGGATGCCGACATGAATTCCATTGTGAGCGATTGTGAGCCTACAGTATGTTTCAGCTTGTGTTTATGAGAGAATGACTCAAGGAGGCGTCTAGTGAGGAATTTCTTAAGTGGGCCTTGTGGGAAAATGTCCAGTATCAACAATCTGTAGATGAAATCACCTGCTTTATCATGAACCGCTTCAACTGCCTTTCTGTCGTACAAGCAAGGGAAAAAGTGGTGTGACAAATCAGGTTAAGGTAGTTTTCCAACGTTGTTTTCTTTACAACAGCGTCTGATTTTATCGACAGCACCTTGTAGTAGCATCCAGTGTGTTTTTAGCGCTGCCGTGCTTACGCTATTGAACGACTGGGTCGATAACCTTTCGCTGTGTGTGACTGTGAGTGTGTGTCCAGCAGATCCGGAGGGACAGATTTTCCTGGGACTTGACAGCTCTCCTCTGCCCGCCATATGCACAGACTCGCCTGTGTGTGACACTTCAGACAGTGTGTGTGACAGTATGTCCCTCGGCCTTTCTCAGCCCTGGAACGAGTGGTGTGTGTGTTCTCTTCTGCTCCACATGCTACTGTTTCCCTGTGTATACACTACACCTATGGATGATGTGCGAGGTGTTTCATCACACCTTTTAATGCGAGCACCAAAGCCTCTTCCGTCCTCACATTTGAAGCGCGGCGTCTCGCAGCGCACCCCCCATTGTTGTGCCTCTTGTTCGCCAGACAGCTCATAATCGAGCCTGCCTCTCCATACACAGCACAACAGAGCATTATTAATCCATTTCACAGCGGTCTCCTGCAGCGAGAGGCAAACAAGGATTCAATCTATGAAGCCTATTTAGCATGTTTTTCCTAGTGGGGGTGTATTAAGACAAATAACACGGGGCTAATTCCTCCTCTCTGCCTAATAACTGGTTTCATGGCTTAGGTCAGAAGGTGAGGGGATCATGGTGTCTGGGTCTCCTGGAGTAAAGGAACTCTATGGAAGATTAAACAGTGATTTGATAGCAGTGAAGTAATGATCCTGCGTCGGCTGACCTTTGACATCAGCGGGAGAATCAAAGGCTGGTGTGGCGTGTCAAAAAAAACGACTTGGAAATGATACTCCACACATGAAAGCCACACACCTGACTAATCTGAGCAACCTTTCCCGATCCGGCCGTGATGAAAGACTCTGCTTTGAAGCCCGCTGTCGAAGATGGCTTTGACCTGAATCGCTCACGCTTCAGGAGCGTCTGCTGCTGAACACGACACAGGTGACATCGCCAATTTGACAAAAAAAAAAAAGCAGGCCGCGTTGAACCTCTTGTTTGATTCCCTCTAGCTGGAGGAAAGCTGAATCTTTCATGGAGACTTTGCTCGAGACACACGTGCATTTTAAAACAAAGTTGGATAACAATCCCTATGAAAAGTGCAATAAAAAAGAACCCTCCCTAAACCCAGCAGGATACTTCTTCTATAGTTTTTAATAACACGCCGAAAGCTGCACTTTTGATCCGGGGCTGTGTAAAAAGGGAAAGTGAATAATTATTTCTTCAAGGAGTGACTAAGTAGACGGAGGATGTGCCTGGGGTGATGGAGGGGCAGCAGCGGACGGCTGGGAATAAACGCTTTGGAGTCTCCTGCTCTGAACTTAATTGGAGCTACCGGGTCTCAACCCCTTCCTGGGAGACGTCACATGTTTTGACACACAGAGGCGAGGGAGCTGGTGTGTGTCACATGTGAAGCTGTATGTGCTGAAAATGGCGACGGCATCTCCTTCCCTTCCTAAATCCATTTTCATTCTCATCCGCTCGGAGAAGATCAGCGCGGCTGGCAGACGACGTCGCTGCTGAATTAGACCGGCTTCAATTTAAGGAATTATTTTAATCAAATTGAAAAAAGGACTTTATGTGATGCAGACGGAGAACGACTCCATTTAATTAGTGTCTGGACTCGGCGAAGTTGATAAAATAAACTAAATGCATTTCTGCTTGTGCAATTTTCTGCGCCCATAATGAAATTACCCATGCATACATAAAAGCTTTGCAGCAAAGATCCAGAAAAAGAAGTAGAGATATCCATAGTCTGCCGGAGCAGCCAACAGCAGGAGAAATCCTGCAGAACTACATGCAGCTCGCTGTCCATCACATGTTTGTGAGTCGTTAACCAGACAGTGAATCACGCAGGATCTTCCTATGACTGAGACTCACCACCGTGGCTGTGCAGGGTCCAGAGCAGGGGGGCGTTGCGGTCGTGAGTCCACCCACACAGGCCCTGATCGAAGTCACAAATGCTGTCTGATGGAGGATAGGTGGCTACTGTGGAGGTGGAGAGGGAGAGAGAGTCAGAGCGAGAGCCAAAGGGCACAAAGCTATGAGAAATGCTTTCTGCTTTACATAATGTCCTTTCAAAGGCTTTCATCTTTTCTATTACTCCTCTAATAACACCATTAATGCTGCCTGGCCTCACCTGTAGTAAAGGTGGTGGCGGTGGTGGTCTCAGCGTCGGCGGGAACAGTCGGTGTGGCGGTGGCGGCCGGCGTGGTCATTTCTGCAGAAACAAACACAACACACAACTCAGGTCAATGTAAGAAACAAACATTAGATCACAGGATGTTTGTTCTAAGGTTATTAATGTGGAGTTTCTCCTTACATACGTGAGGTAGGGCAAAGAAATGTGAGAGGAAGTGATAAGAAACAAAGGCAGAAAGGACCAGGAAGTAATGACGTATACAGCTTTAATAACCAGACATAGTGTGACATCTTTTGCTTTGTCTTGGGAGTTAGAATCGGAAAGTGTATTTTGTCGAGAACATCTAAAGCACTACTACAGCAAAGGGGCAGAGCATATAAAAAGAGGCTTACATATCATATATAAGAGGAAAATAATAAGATAAAAATGAAGCAACTGTGAAATAAAATATGAAGCTACTATACTTTTTTAACAGAAAACTGAGAGGTGTACAGTTTGGAGCCATTTCAAACCATAATTCACCACATAAACAGCTCGTCTCATTGTGCTGCGTATTTAGGGTGAGTTAGAGCTCTTATCATAACTGAGAGTGTGAGGTCACTGTCCGAAAACTAACTTTATCTCCCATTTCCTTCCATCCCACAGTGTCAGAGACAGGCACCCAAGAATCCTCCCCTTAGGTTGTGTCTGGGTGCTCGGGCGTCAGGATCAGTCTAACGAGTATGCAGACACACAAGCTACACACAGTCACACACATTGCACACAGATCCAGAGTCGGGGTTAAGGCTGATGGATAGATGTGTTTAAAAACTCCCACTCTGTTTTCTTTCAGGAACTTCCCTGTGTGTTACCAAGTGTCTCACTCACTATAACTCATACTGGCTCAGAAGAAGAGAAAGCAAACAAAAAGTCAAAGGTATGATGTTCTCTCTGCCTTTAACATCTATTTAAGAACGACTAAATCATCGGGACGGACACATGTGCGCCAAACAGACATGCTGGAGGAATGTGAGGTGGGAGAAAGCGCCGGGTTATTGGGAGCAGATGGGTCAGCCCGGGCGTGTTGTCTATATCACTAATGCAGCGACAGATATATCGCTTCCTTTTCTAACTTAACTGACATGAAAATCATCTTATTTCTCATATTTCCCCGACAGGTCCATCAATTGGATCTGAAACACAAAACTGTGCAAACATCCCCAAAGAAAAATCACACGGATCCATCTCCAACCTTTTCTCTGCTGGGCGGCTGTTAGTGTCAATAATAGAGCCTCCCACTGGCCTTGCTGCATGACATCATTTAGAGACTATGAAAGGCACTGAGGGCAATAAACGCTGCGTGATACACAATTGATCCGCTTAGAGGAACTTCCTGTGGAAATGAGTGGCATGGCGCCCCAGCTGGAGAAATGGCAGGCATGAAAGGGCCTGACATTAACCCAGCGCTAATGTCACGTCCTTTATGCCTGTCATTAACTTTCTAATGAGACTTTTAACGCTGCCTGCCCACGGGGAAGGGAAGGGACCCTCTTGTTCTTCTTCTACCCTTTGCCCTTATATTCCAGTCCAACCTTTGAGTCCTCCACCTAAGTCTTGGGACGGGGTGTTCAAATAAACCTATACATTACTCTAGCGCCCACACGCGCTCCCATGTGTGCGACCTAACACACATAAACACCCGATCCAGTCCATTAAGATTCAGCCTGCTCCTGAGCACTGCATGCTCTCAAAGGTCAGGCCTTGTCACAGTGTAAATGTGCTGACCTTTCCAGGCTGTGACAGCAGAGGCGGGGGCAACGGGAATGGGCCGCCGCTTGTGTGACACGGAGAGAGAACGCGTGTGCGAACGTATGTGACCTGCCCACCTTGCCCCGAGCCATAACCTTGACGGTGTGTGTGTGAGGCCTGTTCTGTGCAGAGGCTTCTTGTAATGCAGGGAAAGTCCCTCTGCAGCGAAGTGTTGTCTTACATAATGTGTCTGCTGCTGCAGGTGATGATGCAAGTGATCATCATGCACGGGATGAGGCACACACACTTAGAACTGGACCCAGGGGAACCGCCGGCACGGATAATGGAGGTGCACACTCGTATAAATACACACCGCAGCTGCGCATGCATAAATATACGCTCATAAAAACACACGTAGACATACACACGGATAAATGCTTTTTTATGCTTATTTGTCCACACACACACACACACACACACACACACACACACACACACACACACACACACACACACACACACACACACACACACACACACACACACACACACACACACACACACACACACACACACACACACACACACACACACACACACACACACACACACACACACACACACACACACACACACACACACACACACACACACACACACACACAGGGTGGAGAGAGCTCTCTGCTAAAAGACATTGCTCCCTTCGAAAGTATCTGACTCAGCAATATGTCAGAGAAGAGAAAAAAAAAACTTCAATTATGTAGAAAGCTTTTCTGTAAATCTCCGCTTGGCAGGCACACGCAGACAAATGGATGTGCATGCACGCATACACCCAAAAAGGACATGCTGGGAAAGATAAGTAGCCATTGTTTGATATTTTGTAGGGTGGGGTTAAGTGATCAGATCAAGGTTCCATCACACACACACATTTCCTAAAGTATGGGTGAGCTCCACCATATTTACTGAGGTTTTGCTGAGCCAGTGTGTGCGTGTGTGTGTGTGTGTGTGTGAGAGAGCTACTATCCAATTCTCCTAAGACTGAAATGGTCCTACCTGAATAGAAAGAGATATTTTGCATTTTTTTCCAAGATATGTCGCTAAGATTTATTTCCTGAGCTCATACATTTTTCATTTTTTAGAGAAAAACGTCAAGGTGAGGCTGTGTGTGTGTGTGTGTGTGTGTGTGTGTGTGTGCTGTGTGTGTGAGACAGATGTGAATCAACAGGGGGGGGAACGGAAGGATTCAGGACCAACAGCAGTGAGATGGAAAAGAGGTGCGAGTGATGAGTAACTGAGGAGGAGAGGAGGAGGAGGAGGAGGAGGAGGAGGAGGAGGAGGAGGAGGAGGAGGAGGAGGAGGAGGAGGAGGAGGAGGAGGAGGAGGAGGAGGAGGAGGAGGAGGAGGAGGAGGAGGAGGAGGGTGGATAGGAAAGGAGAAGAGGCATGGTAACGAAAAAAAAGAACAAAAACATTTACGGACCCACGCACTGGGCCTCAGGGGGGGAAAAGAAAGAACTGAGACCATGTGCACGGGGAGAGAAGCAGCTGCTCTGTTCAAACTACAGATACGGGGTAAAAGAGATTCTATTTCATCAGCTGAAACCACGTTAAGGAACTCAAAAGAGGGCATAAGTGTCGACAAAACGAAAGAAGCGAATAGTTTGGAGTGTGGATGATTCACAGGATGTCACTCAGCAGCGGTTCAGTGTTCCTGCTGAGTGTGGAGGCCTGTGAACAATGTGTGACCCTCAGCAGCAGCTCTCTGTCACACGTCTCCTTTAAAACCATTCACACACTATCTGCTAAAATCACGCCTCTGCAAAAAGTGCAAAAAATATATATTTTGGGGATCTGTTCATTGTTCTGCCTTTCCCAGGGGGCCTGTCAATCAAACAGTAAATGCAAAACACACTGTTTCCTGTGTGGCACGGGGAAAAAGTGTTTTTACATCAGCAGAAGTTAATGTTATGTGCAAAGCGTTTTCTACCATTCACTGCTTTATCACTTACTGTTTTATTATTTTTTTATTATGTGTTTTACTCTGCACGACTCTAACCATGCTCTGCTTAATATTCCATCCCTCTTCAACTACATAACACTTCATCAGCAATTATACAACTGTCACACGCAAATCACCTCAATGAGGGCCACTGCAGTGTATTCGGTGTGTTTGTGCTTGACATGTTGTGCTGGAGAGCCATCCTGTTCAGACACAGAGGGAGTGGTAAACAGTGAGAGTCCAGATGTGTGTGTTTCTGCAGCGCTAACCTTACATCTGGAGAACAGACCGTGCTGGAGAGTGAACAAACCGAACGTTCCCCCTCTCTCCGGGGACACATTCCTCCAAACCGAGCCCTGTCCGCGCCCTGCTGCTGCGGACGCTTGTTGTAGCTAACTTATATTTTCCAGGTGAAATAACCTTGGATTCAAATCAAAATCTCAACCTCTTGAGGGTTACCGCCCTCCCCTTTGCAACATTTGGTGTCTCCTCACCTCTGGTAACGACTCTCATGCATATCTAATGCGAACCTCACTTCCTCAAGCTCCACGCACTTCTGGTTAGATCAGCTCATTATGGCGTCGGAGCAAATTATCATACGTGAAATGATTCCCCGTCAGAATGTCCTACCTGGAAGCTCGCAGCCCAGGATCTCCACCCTCATGCCGATGCCTGCTGGAGACCACCTCTCCGGGTACAGCCTGATGTACTGCGACACGATCTCCTCGAAGCGCCGCAGCTCCGGGGCGTCGTAGTGTGTGTTCCCCTCGAAAAGCTGCCACACATACACAAAAATCATGTCATTTTTTTCATTTGGAGACAAATTATCAGATTCTTCCCTGCTTCTTCGTCCTCCCTCGCCCACCTTAGGCAGGCTGGTTTTGCTGTCCATGATGAAATTCCACTCTTTCCCGTTCAGGCTGTGCGCCACTTTGTACTTCCGGACAAACGCCCGGTTGTCTGTGGTCGCCCCGCTCGCTGCGTCCCCCCCCCCTCGCTCCCTGGGTGATCACTCCTCGCACCGTTTTGGGCACCCCGAGGTCCACCTGGGATTAGATTCAGATGCATACAAGGTGGTTAATATACTTTACACAGAACAACACATGGTTATGTCATATATTATTAGAGTATACATTATTTATTCTACTGTACAGTATGTAATTGTGCATTCTTCTAAGGTATATATCTTTCTATATTCCTCCAGCTTACTTTCACCAGTATGGCTATTGCATTGTATTTTATTTATTTACTATATGTTACTATATAAAATCTCCAAAACTAAAACTTGACAGCTCATAATATAGCATATGAATGATGTTTCTGTAGTGCCTTAAATAATATGTTACTGTTGGTGCTTGTCATCTGGAAACACACAGTCAGGAAAAGTACGATGAATGCAGTAAACTCCTCTCACCTGCAGCCACTCCTCTCCGGCCAGCGGCTGCGCGGGGGCGGGGAACCAGCCGGAGCGACTGGCCACCAGCCGGGCGGTGCTGGGGCTCCAGCCCAGGTCCCGGCTGGAGGAGACGGAGATCTGAGCGTCGGGCAGCAGGCCGGACAGCAAGCCCTGCAGCTCGGAGCATGGAGCATCTGGAGAGGGAAGAGGAGAGGCCGCAGATAAGTTTAACCTCAGGCGGCGCTGATGGAGAGGCGACGACCTTACACACACTCACGCTGCTACACAGATTCCCGCCTGGGAGCTGTTAAGCCTCGCCGCAGGATTGCACTGCTGGCCACTGAGCGGTGAGAGTTTAGACCGGAGCAGAGAGGACAAGTTCTGCAGCTTCATGTTAAATATATTAGACTGCCATTAGTGAGATGAAAGCATGCAATAACTGCCCTGCTTTCAAATCTCAAACACAAACATTTTAAATATGTTATATTCTCTACAAAAGTTTTGTCTTTTCGCTGTGCTGCACAAATCTTATGTACACTCACTGACTGTGGGGAAAGTCCCGCGTACATGCAAAAGCACTTGGAAATGAAACTCATGCAGATATGGATGAGCGGGTCGCACTGAGAGGAACTTGCTGAGGGAGGATGTGAGAGGCAGAAATGAGGATTAAGGGGATGAGGGAGGTATAATACGAGGAGCCAGGAGGCAGGGAAGTAGAGAGTAAAGAGAGGATGATGGTTGGGGGAGAAAGGGAGGAGGGCAAGATGTTGGAGAGGCTCCTACAGAGACAGGAGGAGGAGGAGACACAGAGGAAGGGCATGAGGAAGAGAGATGGGGAGATGTTAGTTGTGCTGACGGTTTAAGAGAACACAGATCAAAGTTTCATGCTGTTATGTCACTGCAAAAGCAGGGGATGTAAATAATAAATAAAAGGCATAGAATGTGTGTGTGTGTTTGTGTGTGCTGGTGGGTGGTGTCTGTGTACATTTCATTGGGGGCGTGCTTGCTTTTGAGGTCAAATGCTATATTTAGAAGCTGTGGATGTACCTGTGCTGTACGATGCTAACGGTTGCTCTGATAGCAGCTGTTGAGGCTGACGCGAATCACAGTTTCTGGTGTAAGAGTGAACGGCGAACCATGAATGATTGATCTATACTCATCTCTCAATATAGAGGAGACATCAAAAAAGGTTCTAAAACCACGAGGGGGGAAAAGAGGCGTCACTGGAGGGAGATGGAGACAGAAAGTGAGTGCGGAGAATAAATGGAGAGGGAACTGACACTGCTGCTGGAGAATAGAATCAAAGTTTCCTTAATTAGGTTCCTATGTGTAAGAGATATCAGGAAGAGTGTGAGAAACTAAACCTACGTGTGTGTGTCAATGACAGTGTGGGTGTGTTCCTAGTTTTGACGGTTAAGGGGGTCATTTTTTGCAGTTAATGTTGATTATAAATGGGTGGGAAGCATAGGGTGGGAAGCTGTTTCAGTCAAAGTTATAGAGTGTGGAGCCGGGTGATTCTGGCAACCTGTCAGCAGGCAAAATGAAGAAAAGTCTAACCCGTCACACACACCTGTGATCTGGCACCCGTAGAGCTCGAAGCGCAGGGCGATGCCATTCTTCCAGGTCTGTGGTCGGATACGAACAAACCGGGCGAGGACCGGCTGCGGTACGCGGTTCAGAACCACCTCAGTCGGGTCTGTGTTGCCGTGGAAAATCTGTAGAGTAAAGAGAGACAAAGGTAAGGAGATGTACCGCTCATTATGGTATCAGTTCCCATCTCTCTCTTTCTCACACACACACACTACACTGCTCTACACACCCCCACAGTGCACGGTTTCGCTCTGCTTCACACACATATACACCCACACACAGTGGCGGTCCGGACAAAGCAGAGACAACCCAAACACGGATCCGATGTCACCGGCCCAGCTGTCGATGTGTTTTGGGGTCAAAGGTTCAACGCTGGGAGGCTGGGAAAACCTGACGATGGATGAGGGTTTCTCTCTCTCACACACACACACACACACTGCTCCTCATATACCAGCTACCTCCATGCTGGTGGCCGCAGGAAGCTGTGGGAGACATGACCTGACATGTCCAAACATGATTGGCTGTCAGACGCGCAGGAAGTGTCTCCAGGTGGGCAGGATGTGAGAGCAATGTACTTCCCAAAGCATCAACATTCACTTCTTATTGACGTGCACTCCCTTCCTTCCACAGGCACTGAAGCAGCAGGGTGGGGCAGCAGGGGTCGGAGGGCAAATGTAACCAGGGTGCTCAAGTTACTTCCTGTTTTGGGTTTCGAGGGCGTTACATTCAATAACAGACAGAGATGCTCCTTTTTGTTATATTGTCACACAAGTTCTTGTTTCTAATCACTTCCTCTTCCCTCCATTAATGTCAACACCTCCATCCATTAGCCCCCTTAAATATCCTCCTCAAAACCGTTGAGTTGCTATCTCTGCACACATCCTCTCGCCCTTATTGCCTTTCTTCCTCTTGTTGGTGGCTACAAACTGAAACCGCTCACACAAAGACACAGGAAACCACAGGAACACACACACACACACACACACACACACACACACACACACACACACACACACACACACACACACACACACACACACACACACACACACACACACACACACACACACACACACACACACACACACACACACACACACACACACACACACACACACACACACACACACACACACACAACACACACACACACACACACCCTACACTCTCGGAGAAGGAGAGGAAGTGTCTTTAAGTGAGTGACTGTTAAGTGTCATTCACTATGTGTCTGTGGTCGCTGTGGGTCTGGAGATATTCCGCTAACTTCACAGCCGCAGTACACAATGGAAAGACAAGTGCTACAAGCAGCTGAATTAAACATTAAAGGCATCATTTCCTAAAAAGATGCCTACATGATTTTCCTTTTACTCTCTTCCTAGCACAGGATGATCAAACCAAAGCACACTCCCTTAGCTTAAGAATTTGATACCTTCTTGTTTTGATAATGTTGTTTTGTGAGTCTGCAATATCGGCGTTAAAATTACCTATTTGTCAAATTCCCTGTGTGGCACATACCTCCAAAAATTGATATGATATTCCAGAAATTCCATAACCAGCGGGAATATGATAGATACGAATTCAAAATCCGACTCAAGGGGTTTTATTTGATTTTGGGCATGGCCTGATTTAATCAAGTGCAGCTGACACTGGTAATACAAAGCAGTGTGAGTGTTTGAACAGATAAGCGGGTCTATCTGCGCGGTATCTGCTGCTGGATTGAGGATAGACAGCCGCTGTGTTTACCTCAGAGGCCAAACAGTGGATGTGGGCTCTTATGGGGGTTATGTAAACACCCACGCATGCTCACACAAAGTGGAGCGTATAGCGCAGGGCTCGGCTCGCATACAACCAACCCATCTCCACCGCTCCCGGATAATGTGTTCGTGAAACAAAGGGCAGCATAGAGAGGACAGGAAAAACAAGAAAAATGTCCTCAGAAGAACGGTTTTAAAAACAGATGAAGAAAGGGAGGAGGCAGGTGAGAAAGAGGGGAGAGGTTGAATGGAGGGCAGCAGATATAACTGAAAAAGGAATGAGGAAGAGGAGGCAGCGCAGAACAACGGACACATTCATCACCAACACAGGAAATACTTCATCCAAGTGTTCATATCTTGATAAGGAAAAACGGCTAAATTCATCAGGATGTCCTCCATCTTGAAATGAATTGCTATCTTTATATAACATTCATAATCCGACAAACACCATCATTCAAGATTCAGATTAAAATGTAATTACAGTTTTAATTTGATTTCCAGAAATTATGTGAGTTAAACAAATGGATTTATAATATATTACATTTACAATAATGAATTAGATAAATGCATTTCATGTAAAAATGTATCATGGCTATGTCTGTAAACCTTTGAAAGTCTATTAAATATTTGTCCACTTCAATTTCCCTTTGAACGAGATGCCCATCACGACTAAAACGCCATTAGCTGGGCGCATTTCAATATTTCCAGCTGCATTCCTGTCTTTTTATCTTTGGATAAAAAGCAGAGATGTATAATCTATCGTCACTGACACAGAAAGAAATATCAGTTCAATATAAATCGACGCTTTGCTTTTCTCTTTTGGAGGTGAGAGGGGAGACAGAAGATGAGAAGTCAGCTACTTCTGTCTCCTCCACTTCCTCCCGTCTATTGTCCCGCTACCTGAGGGTCACTCATCTGACCCCAGACCCATTACTGCCAAGGTTAAAGGTCAATACCCTTAGGCACCAGATGGTTGCTTATTGACCAACTTGTAGATAGTATAGTTACTTTTTGACTAACTAGGAATGTGACATGAATTGAAATGTAGCGGCCTTTGCATTGGTGGAAAGTGACTAAGGACATTTACTCAAATATAGCACTTTACTTTCCTTGAGTATTTTCCTTTATGGGTACTTTTAAGTCGGGATTTTTACTTGTAATGGAGTATGTTAAGATAAGACCATAGTATTAGTACTTTTTCTTAAGTAAAGCAGTACTTCTTCCAACACTGCATACTGTCAGTGTGTTGTGTGGCCTCCTCTGAAATCTGCCTGACGACTGGCATGTTTTTGTGCCATGCAGGCAAGGTGAGCTGAATAATTAACGTCGTCATGTTGTGTCTCCTAGTGGAGGCTCATGAAAATATAACGAAGCCCTGCACACACACACACACACACCTGGCGACCAGACTGGTTTGTGTGGACATTGGCGGGACACGGGCACCATGGGTATTTAACTATTGATGACCTCTCTGGAGAAGGAGGTCACCGTGAAAGGCGGGTTGCAGTAAACACCCTCTCTGATGCTCTGGATTGGCAAATGGAGTAAAAAAGAAGCCTGTGTGCATCCTCAACACGTCTTAGATCAGAATATAAGTTCATAGCTTTTCTCACATGTCTCCTTCCTTTGCCAGTTTTCCTTCACGCTGACGGCACCACGGGGAGCGAGCTCTGCACAAGACATTATTCGTTTCCCGGCTGCTTTTTCATCCCTGTGTTGCTCCCCAGATCCCAGCCTCTTTTCTCCGTCCATTACACTCGTCAGCCCTGTCTTCTTGCTCTAGTTATTTCCACTGTCTATTTCTCTCTTTCTTTCTGGCCATTACCCCTCCTTTCTCCTCCATCTTTGCTCCAGACGTTCTCTCCCTCCCTTCTCACTATGAAGATGTTGACAGTAGGAACTGGTTCCAGCTGGCCACTCTCCACTACTGGCTCTAAGAGGAGCAAGCAGTGTGTGTGTGTGTGTGTGTGTGTGTGTGTGTGTGTGTGTGTGTGTGTGTGTGTGTGTGTGTGTGTGTGTGTGTGTGTGTGTGTGTGTGTGTGTGTGTGTGTGTGTGTGAGAGAGAGGTTCAAACGGTGGAATTGCCTTACACCACCTTATGTCGTATTCTGTCAGAGTGTTTATGCTGAATATTGTTTGTATTAGCTCAAAGAGGTACACATAAGTGTGTGTATGAGGGTGTGTGACAGTGTGATGGGGGGCTGGCTGAAATGCTGTGTGTGCATTTTTCTCTCTCTCCCATGTCACTGTGTGTGTGTGTGTTGCCTCACAATGCTTTCCAGTAACATAATACTGTGTTAGCGCTGGGGCTGCTGGGATTTTTCCTCCCAGACGGATGACAATGTTTTAATTGTTAATTTGTTTAGGTGGACGTGTCATTGTGTGTTTGTATCTATGTATGTATGTGTGTGTGTGTGTGTGTGTGTGTGTGTGTGTGTGTGTGTGTGTGTGTGTGTGTGTGTGTGTGTGTGTGTGTGTGTGTGTGTGTGTGTGTGAGATATGCAATTCCTAAGTGTGCTCGCGTCTCATCAAGTAATGAGGTGCATATGTGAGTAGTGTGATTGAGAATTAACAAGTCACATGGGTGTCAAACTGAAAATGTGTTGGCGTGCAGAAAATGAGTGAAAAAATTCTCACACCCACACCACACCCACACACACACACACACACACACACACACACACACACACACACACACACACACACACACACACACACACACACACACACACACACACACACACACACACACACACACACACACACACACACACCACACACACACACACACACACACACACACCCTGAGGTGATTGTAATCTCTGTGTTTTTCTCAGCCGGGAGCAAGTTTACACTTTTACAAGAAAGAAATGTGTGTTTCCCACAATGCCAGCGTCTCTCTCTGCCTCTCCAATAATCTGTATTGGCATTAAATCAATCAGTCTTTGTTAACACGGCAAATAAGAACACAAATCTTGGCAAATCAACAATAAATCTCCCCCAATATCAAACACAGTGAGGCAAGAAGTGCCGAGCCAATCCTTTTTTCCTGGGTGATTCATATCTGATGCACACACTCATGATGCCTCAGCCTTCCACAAACACCGCTGCACATGCACTCCCAAAGCCACATTGGCTTCCAGCTCACTGTGAAATGACAATTAAAAGAAGCAAATCCCAGTCATTACAGGACCCCCCGACGAGATTTCAGTTTCAACCACTTAAAGGCTCTTTGGGGGGGTTTAGGACGGGCTAACTGGGAGTTTGTTCGACAAGACGGTGGATTAGCAGTCACGGAAGAAGACTTACCCTAACCCGCAGGGACCGGAGGCTCATGGGGAGGGTACAGTGAACTCAGCGCTGGGCTCAAATTATGACTGCGACTCGTGTGTCGTTTGTCAAAAGTGTTATTATTTCCTCCCATATCATCCATCACTGTCTGTGGTCGGCGAAAATACAAAGAAAGTTTTATTCAACTTAATCCGAGATGTCTGTGTTATACATCCAGAATGTGATTGAAAAATAAGTCTCTGTGGATTCAAAGCATCGTTCATTGGACTCAATGTTGTCATACTTTCTTTATGATCATCAAAACCAGATGCTATACTTAATTGTATCTCAATTTTTTTTATAGATGATGTAATGCCCCATTGGCGCAAAAACTTTTCTGTTGGCTTTTAAGTCAAATCTGTTTATTGATTTTTCAATTTCCTTCAGGACTGGGTGCATTCAAAAGTAGCAAGCGTTACCAATTTTCTCATTTTTAAAAGGGACCACTCAGTGAATCCCTCCTAAAAGCACGTCGATGTCTCTGTCTGAGTCCGTGTCTGGACGTTGGGACAGATTAGAGGACTCAGATTACACGGTACAGACAAACATCATATACATATGCACACACACACGCCCACATCTGCAGACGGAGAGATCAGCCAGAGGTTATTTAAAGGGGGGGTCTGTGCATGTTGCACGTGTGTGTATGTGGAAGGAGTGGGGGGGTGTAATAAATCGCACAGATGTTGACTTTTTAAGTCAAATCCACGTTTCCCTCAATAATCTCCACATCAAATACCCCCCACTGGCCCCACCCAAAACCAATCACCGGCACACACAGAAGGGGGCCCCCCGGTCTGTGCATGTGGGTAAGTGTGTGTGGATTAACCCTCCACACACCCACCACTCGCCACTCTCCATTTTCCTGCAATCCACAGTGACCTTAACCCAGATATGTGGAGTTCCAATCCCCTGGAGACGGGCTTACTGTAGGTCCCATAGACAACCTGCACGGTATTCATACACAACCCCCCCACCATCCATTTCAGAAGATGATGATGCTATGAAACTCCTCACCTGCTCCGTCCACACACCTGGTGACTCCACAGAGCGAGGTGTGTGTTTATGTGTGCGTCAGTGAGATATGATGAATAGAGGCCAGATAAGGGCACATAGAGGACTCCATTGTTCTTGTTTGTCAGCCTCCCCTCCTCTCTTTAAATCTATCTCTTCCTCCCTCCTTCCCCTGTTCCCTTCCTCATGACCGGGGTCATTAACAGTCCTCGAAGGAGAATGACTCCTTCAGGAATGTTCCATCTATTGATAGGACTCTCCTGCGCACACAACGGCTTCTTTTGTTGGGAAACATATCATGATGGTATAATAAAAAGGTTACAGAGAGGTGGTTGTAAATAACTCTACTCCACTTCCATTTCACGTGTTTTAATGCAGGCTGTTCCTATACACTCACATGCAGCTATACCTACAAAAAGTAATGCACCTTAAATTGTTTATATCCCACAAAAACAATTCAAGTACGAGGAAGTACAACATGTAAACAGTCAGCGTAGTGAGGAGAGTCTTGTTTGAAACCAGATTTGAGTTTCTGTTGGGTAACTACCGTAGATATCAAACCAAACACTTATTTGAGACTGTATGAGGAGCAGGAATTGGCACGTCTATGTTGCTGGACATTCGTAGGAAAACATACAAAAGAAAATTAGAGGAATACAGTTTCATACAATATCTCACAAGCTGCAGAATGCACGTAAATGTGAAATCCTACCTTGTGGTTCTTGCCGTGCCGGTACACCATCCAGTCCTCCCCGTTGGTGCTGACCTCCATCTTGAAGGTGGTGACGTAGTAGGACTTCTGCGTCTCTTTTGAAACGGCCCCCTGCATGGCGATGCCTGTCAAAACCTTCAGGAAGTGGAGGTCAACCTGGGGAAAAGGTGGAAAGTAGAAATGATTTAAAACTAGATTTCCTAATAGATCAGAAAGAATGAGATAGAAAGGCTGTAGGGATTGGTGGTGGTCAGGGCTGATGGAGATACCAGCTGCTGAGTCTATCTGTCACACAGACAGCAGGGGATGGACTCCGACTGTGGCCTGCTGCTGATGGAGCTTACGGGGGTCTGTGTGTGTGTGTGCATCTTTGCATTGTCGTGTGTGAGGCGAGGAAGGCTGGAGGCAAAGATCAATGGCGTAGTGTTCGGATGCATTCCTGAGGAGCACTTTCATCAATCACCGGCGTGTGTGTGTACACTTGTACACTCGTGGACAGTGTGTTTTCAGACAGGGAAGATTGAGAGCGCGGAAGCACTTCCTTATCATCGCTTCACAGTTTTATTTTCAGTGTGTGTGCTGTATGTCACTGTGTGTATAAGACAGCTGGATGTATTAGGACGTTTCAGACCTGGATGTACTCCTTGTTGCTGTCCTCTGAAGGCGTCCAGGCGTTGTCTTCGTTGTTGAGGCGGGCCTGCCGGGGCAACCAGCGGCTGTCGTAGAAGGACGTGGACGCAGAGATCTGATCGTCGCTGATCTTCCCCGACTCCATGCCCAGCGCCATGCTGCAGTGGAACGCTGAGAGAGAGAGAGGAGGAGATGGAGAAAGCTGAGCGTTAACTGTGTGTTTGTTGGAGATGGAAAATAAGCAGCAAGAAAAACAAGAAGGGAGAGAGGAAGGAAGGAAGGAGTGATGACAGATGCAAGACTGAAAAAGAAGATCCAAGCAGAATATTATACAGTTTGAAGACAGAGACGGAGAAAGTAAATCCAGACAGAGAAAGGGCAAAGGGAGACAGAGAGCAGCCCAACAGGAGAGCGGAGGTAAATTGAGGTGAAGCTAATTTATATTCTAAAAGAAAAATAGTTTCTGAGTCTGCTTCTGAGAAACCGTGCTCTCTTAGGAGGAGGGAGCAAAATAGACTGAGGGGTGAGAGAGAGAGAGATTTAAAATAGCATTAAAGTAGGTAAAGCTGAAAAGAGGGTAAGAGGAGCGAGAGATGAAGACAGAAAGATGAGTGTCAGTCAGCGGAGAAGAAGCTCACACACACACACACACACACACACACACACACACACACACACACACACACACGGAATTATCTGGCACTCACAGTTGCTGACTTCTTTGTGTGTCATGTTGTATCGGGCGGAGAAGCCGTCTTTGGCCACGGCCATGTCGGTGTGGAAGGAGAGGGACAGCAGGCCGGAGGACGACTGGATCTCCGGAGGGATCTTCGTCCCGCAGTACCGACCAATCAGAGGAGACACTGCAGAAACAGAAGGAAATCAAATTAATGAACAATTCTGTCTAAATAGATACATTATAGGTTGATTTCAGGGTGTGTTTTATTTTGAAAAACTGATCTGGTTTCATATACTGAGTTTTCTATATGACCCTACACGTGTCTGATGGAAGAGGAATCCAGCTCTATACAAGTTCAGTGGCAAGCTGCTCCAGTAAGTGTTGTCTAATGAGTCGCAGCATGCTTCTCCCACATTTATTTCCCCCATCTCTCCCCCCTTTTCTCTCCTGTCCATCCCTCCATCTGCCATGTGTGTCTCAGCCAAGGCCCAGCAGGAGGACTGGAATCCCTGCCTCTAATGCAAGCTGCACTGGGATGAGCTGCCGACACACACACACACTTACACACACCCGTGAGGATTACAATAGTCTCAGGGGTAGCTCCCTCACCAGACACCAAATTCCTCACCCTTGCGTTTTTCTGTCTCCCGTCCCTCCTTCATGCCCGGGGACTCGGCTCACTGGAACTGGGTTACACTTTAATTTCCTCTTAATTCTCAACTTTGAATGGTATAAATTGTTTTCAGCTATCAAAGCTCCCAAATTCGAGGCTATAATTGGAATTTTAAATCCACTCGGATCCCTTTTTAGCAACCGCAAATAGAATAATTAGAGCAAATCCTCAGTTATCTGCTTCATATTTCAAAAAAGGGGGAAAGAAGTCGGCATGAGAGAAAGAGAGAAAGGTGGGAAGTGAGCCACTACTAATGTGCTTTTCATCAGCACTACAGCAACTAACAGCACCCTATGGCGGTCACTTTCAAAGGCCTTCATAATATCCCTTAAAATGTTTTTCCTCACTACTTCCTGATCTCGACCGATAGGCCACTTTCGCCACCTCCTATTGGATACAAACAGATATTCATCGTAGCCATCACTCTCACTCGCCCGGGGGAGGAAGGAAGCGCTAGGTGATAAGGAGAGAGGACTGGGGGGGTAGGAAGGGGGGTGATGAAGGGTGTTATTAAGGAGAGGGAAGAGGGGCATGGGAAAGGGTTGCTCCTTAGGGGGGTCGAGGCACTTTCAGCTCACCGTGTGAAATAATATTTCCTCTATGTAATGTGTAAGGTTTACATCAAAGAGAGCCATGGCGGCAAAGGAAATTGAACACTGGTATGCAAATGTCTGTGTGGGAATGTGGAGGATGAGATGTGGATGTAATGACTGTGTGTTATCCCCAGGATGTGTGTGTGTGTGTGTTATCCCCAGGATGTGTGTGTGTGTTATCCCCAGGATGTGTGTGTGTGTTATCCCCAGGATGTGTGTTTTTCAATGCACTTTAACAAACGAGTGTATAAGCCTTAAGGCTTTCTTCCAGCGTGTGTCCTCACCTTGCGGAAGGCCATCCCACACGTCCAGCCAGTCGTACTTGCAGTCGCCCTCTCCCACCAGCAGGGGGTCGTTCTCCAGGTCAAAGGTCAGGAACGTGAGGACGATGTCCATGTGGGGCGGGGCGATGATCATGTACGAGCACTCCAGGTTGTGAGGGTATTTATCCGGGAAGCCCGGGGAGTCGATCATGCCGGAGGAGCTGGTGAAGTTGCGGAAGCAGAATTCCGACCCTGCAAGGATAAACGGATATTTAGAATAAGGAATAAGTAATCGCTCATATTAGGGGAAGATACGGGCGTTAGCAATCGATCACACTGGGATATCTCATCTGACTTGCAGAGGGTGTTGCAGAGAGTCGTTCATCACTGACAGCATGCAGGGATACAGTAGCTGTGGTGCTGAGACACACAAACAGGTTATGATCGCTGATGGAGAGGAAATACACAGTGAGTAAATGCTCAAGTGGGCGTATCTAACGCTGCAGCATCGCCACTTTAAAGTTGAACCACTTCTGTATTCAAAAACAGTCTGTATGTTGCTGGAAAACTATTATACCTTCAGAAAAGTTGTCATTTTATGTTTGACGGCTTTATAGCGCCCTTAAAAAGACCCCGTTCTCATACATTTCACTGTATGACTCAACAATACACACTTATGCAAGGCTAACAAGTGAATAGACTGAACCGTGCTCTATTCTATATTCCACACACTCTCTTCAACTCCCATTCTTTTGCACACACACACACACCTCAAACGTTGTGTAATGGTTCTAAGTGGGCCCTCTGCGGCGGCCCCTCATCAGCCATGCAGATTTATGCGCTCTGGGCGGCTCACCTTGAGCGGCGGCAGCTGTGTGGCTCAGATCAGCTACCCATCAGCCACTGCTCTGCGCCACACTGGGGATCCTGAGTCACGGGCCAGTGTTTATGGACCGGCACATCAATGAGGGTGGGAGAGAGTCACAGCACACATCGACTTCACACACAGCCTCATTCACAAACTTTTCTGTCCATTCGTTCTCACCTTCTCTATCTTTACTTCGGCTATACACATTGTGGTCTGTGTTCCTATTTTCAACTTTGCCAGGAGGGCATGTGACAAGACTTCTCATTAGGTCTTTGTTTAACAGCACATTTCGGCCTTTTTTAAACCAACTGATGCCACCTAAATCGCTGCTCATGTTGAGGCTATTTTTGCTGTAAGTGGACACAGTTTTATTTCTTTGTCGTTTTAAATTACAACTCAAAGAAGACACATTCCCCTTTGCTAAAATGCTCACAGGCCAGCGTAATGAAAAAAGTCTTTGCAGTATTTTCCCACCACTGGGCGAGCAGATAAAGGCCATGTTGAAGAGACTCAGGGGCTTTCTGGTTGGTTTGAAACCTGGGAAAGTGTGTTTGCAGCAGCAGCTCTGCATTGTGTCAGAGAAGTGGCAGGCCAGCGTTTGATAATACTTATTCATAAAGAGCAGCAGAGACATGTTACCGGCGCATTCCTTCTGCAGCATTCCTCCAAGGCACCAGTCCTTATTATCAGACAGCCCTATAAAAGCTGAGGGTCGACCGGCTGCTCCGGCCCCCCCCCTGTCTACACTTGGTTAATGGCAGAGAGCTGACCCCAATCACGAGGAGAAAGAAAAATAACACTCAGGAGACAGTGTGTGTCTCTCGCT